GTAGCACAGCTACAGGCTCAGGAAACACTGATGTAGAACCTTTTCACTAAAAAATGATAGTAAAGAAAATTAAGGAATTGTCAGTATAAATGTAAACTCCAGTCAACAACTATGTTAGGAAGCATGAAAAGTACGGTTTTACTCCAACTGCCCAATATTTAAAATAATCCAGAAAAATGAGTATTAGATATAAGGAGCAATTTTGTTCCATATGGTCAAATGTAACATAGAAAAACATTCCTAAAATGATATAACCTGAAGAAAAGTTTATAATATAATTAGATTCTGCCCTGAATACATACTCAGATCATTGTAAAAGAAAACAGTGGAAGATGCTTGACAAATAATTTTTGTAGAACAGCTGTAGGCTTGAACATGTATAAGCTAATTTTAATGTAAACATTAACATCTTTATAAAACAGTATCTCTCAAAAGGGTGAAATCAAACAGCAAGTGCTAATAAGGTTGCAGGTAACAGAACATCTTTTTTGATCATTGCTTCATTTATGTTTTAGGCACTTACAAATTACACATAGATAACCAACAGCAGCAGAACACTGTATAATAAAGCAAAAACTTGTTGCTATTTTTAATATGTTAAATTTTCTTAATAACTGGCTTGAAATAATATAAACATGACACCACTTTAAAGCATTGTAATGTTTAAGGCACTCTAATTCAATTTATTGTTTAAAATGTGCACCTGGCATAGTCATTAATCTAAGGTAGCTCTAATCCAAAGGCTTCAGAGAATATTTAGAGCATAATTCCTTGCATCCCTAGTATTTTTTAAATGGGGGTAGTCTACCTTCCATCCTTGGTCAAGAGGGGAAAAGAGAGAAAGAGATATAGAAAAAGGGACTTCTCTGTAGAAAGATCTGGCCTTGGAGTCAAGGTTTCTGAGATGTGCTAGTGATCTTGGATCGATGCCTTTTTATTTTCTTTCAGGAATAAATCTGTGCAATGGAATGGCTTCAATTGTCCGGCCAACCAGCCATATCAGATTTATCAGAAAGAAAGAATGAAAACTGGCTCAGAGGACTCCTGCAGTGGCTGAGTGGCAGGCTGCTGGGAAAAGCACACACAAAAAAGAATACACTTAGTGGTGGAGGGAAAAATATATATATTCACATGCATAAACTCAATAAATAATAAGATGTAAAGAAAGAATCTATAGTAATGGAAAGGGTGAATGCATAAGACAGATGATAAATAGTACTTCTATTTAAGAACTAAAGGCATGAAAGCTCATGAATACTAAATATTTGAATCCACTTTAAGGAGGAAATATGATTTTTCCCTCAAATGAAAGCAAACTCTAAAAATCAGCCAATGCAAACTTACCGTGTTCAGGTTAGTGTAAAAAATACATAAATCTTCCATGAAGTGCATGCCCTGGTAAATATTCTAATGTAATTTCTTATTAAGACACATTTCCAGTGACTAAATGAAAAAATATTTAAAGCAGTAAGTATTGATTTTCAAAAAAATTTGACTTTATATGCATGAATGATTAAAATAAAAGCAGTTTAGTTTAAAAGGAAAAAATCGAAAAAAATTAAAAAATAAAAGGAAAAAATCGGAAGATGAGGAATCATGACACAACCAGTCATTCAATTTTATCACAACAGTCCATATCATAGTATTTTCAAGTTATTTGCAGTTATAATAGGTATAAATTGGTTTAGAAGCATTCTGAAGAAAAAAAAATACCTTCTTCTAAAAAGATCTTTTTTACATATATAAGAATTTCAAAATTAGAAGAAAAAAAAAAAACAGTATCCTGTGGGTGTGCTTACAGTAAACACATGTAGGAAAGATTTTTTTAATATATTTTACATCTTTTTCATCATTTATCTAAGTTTCATTAACTTTTTTCTTCTCAAATGTAGAAAAAAAACCCAACCTTAAGTTTGAAGATATATCTTACATATGTAGGGGAAAAAAAGTGTTATTTTATAGTATGAAAAGCAGAACTAAGTTACTTGCAAATAAGAAATGGAAACTGAACTTGTTCATCCCATATTTATTGAGGTATGTAAAAGCATTGCTTCAATATTATATATTGTATTTCAATACAAAGGTGATATTATTTTTCAATCATGCCAGGAAAAGAAAAATTTTGAAATTATCCCTTTTGGTGGTAAAGGCTTTATAATAGTCATATAAAGGGCCTTTGGCTATATATACTATTTCTAGATAAAACGAATTACTGGAAATGAGACAAAGTCCTCAAGATTTATTTAAAAATTGTCTTCTCTAAAGCTGATTTTTTTCCCCAAGCAAAAGAAGAAAAAAAATAAAAACAGATCCTTTTCCATTACAATTATTTTAATAAATATCTTAGATCTATATAACAGAATCTCCCCCCCACCCATATCTTTATTCTGTTCACATAGAGCAGTAAATAAGGTGCATTCCTTCTGCTTCTTAAGAAATTAGCATTTCAAAAATATGCCACTTTCCCCTGAACTCCAAGCGTGTCTAATAATGCGAGAAGCAGATTGTCTTCCCTCGTTTCCTTAATTTGTTTCATCTAAAAGCAATTCACTCAACATCTTGTCGCCCTCTGGCAGCTTAGTTTACTTATCCGCACTTAATTTCTCATTTGGACCAAAACAAACTCCTCCAAACTGCTACTGACTGCTAACCGCGAGAGGAGAGACACGCAATATGTATTTACTTGGGAACATACAACCCCACATACACAGCCACAAACACACAGAGCCTCACTCATACTCTAGACAGTAACTTGGTTTTATAAAAGCACTATATTAAAACCAGCTGAACTTTCCTTGCCAGGTGCGGCAGGGTGGGGGTGGGATAGCGTGAAAAAAAGAAGTCCCTAGGGGCATTTACAGTTTTTCAGTGGATCACCTTAGCATGCGTGTTGCAATTATACCAGGGATGCACCCGAGAGCTTTTCTTTGTGCGGCCCTTTCATCTAGATCACTTTGTGTTTTGAACAAGTGAGGCTCGCCTTTGTGCCCCTAGAATTTCAAGTACAGAGTCACACACGGAACAACAATGGCACGCTAATCCTCGCGCTCTAAATGGGCTCACTTGTGGGTCTGACCATTCGCGGGGGGAAGCGAGAAGGGACCAGCGAGGGCGCGAGGCGGTGTCGCCTGAGACGAGGAAGAGGACAGCTGCAGAACTAATTTGGATTACATTCTTTGCAGAAATTCTGAAAAGGGCTTTTCGGCATAGCTCAACCCTGAGCCACACAGTTAATACCAAATTGCTGCGGACTCGGAGCCGGGTCCCCCAGCGGCTGAGGCTAAACCAGACAGCCCCCAGTAGGTTGCCTCGTAGAAATTCCTCTCGGCTAAGTCTGCATGTCGGTCGCAAATGCTTTTGAATGGGTCAATGTGCATAATCAACCCATTGAGGGAAAATATGAAGGGACTCGGAGTGGGGAGGAAGATAAAAAGGGATGTATCTAAGAGGCCGCTTGGAATCTCAAGTCGTGTTGGTGTAATTCCGGAGGTGGCTGGAGCGCGCGGGACCTGGTGTGCATGAAGAATTTCGGAGTATTTGGGAGGGTGCAAACGGCTAGTACAAGCGGCGCACACTGGTGGCATTCGAAGGTCATTTTGAAAGGCTCGATGATTGTAACTGGTTATTTACTAGGCTAGGAGGGGTAGGCGGCAGCGGCGGGGGCGGAGCGGGAAAACTACAGCGCGCTGTTTTCCTGGTGAGGTCAGAAGGACACCCTCCGGGGGCCTGAAGCTCTCCTATCGCCACTCCCGGGGGCTTTATCTCCTCTAGCTGCCTCCCACGCTCCCGCGACCAGCCCCGGGTGGTTCCGGAAATCTCCCCCGCTCTCCAAAAGGCCCCCTTTGGCTGCATAAGTCACCGGTCCTCCGTCCTTTCCTGTCCCACTTTCATCCCCAGGAAACGCGAGTGTCAGAAACTTTGAGCAACCTCGCACTGCGGGTGCTGTCATTAGCCCTGCCCGCCGCGGTGCGCCAGCTCCACCCGGCTGCCTCTCGGGGGTCAACACGCCTTCTGCCTGTCCAGGTACCTGGGGCTCAGGCTTTCCTGCAAACAGTGGCAGCGCAGTCGCGCCCGCCTCTCGGGTTAAATCAATTCGCGCCACGGGTCGGCTCGGCAGCCGCGCCGGGCAGTAAACAGAGAAGTTGGAGGGACTCCGGCCAATAGCAAGTTGAACTACAGGAAGAACCCTTCCTGAAGCCAAACAGCAACCGACGGGAAGGCCGGGCTCCCGGCTCAAGTATGTCAACCTCCCCCCCTTTTTTTTAAAGAGAGCACGCAGGCTAGCAAGCTCCCTCTTGTCAATGGGGCGAAGGCTCCCGGACGCCGGCGTAGGAGGCCCGGAGTTCTGTGCCCCCGGGCCGAAGCGCGCCCTCCTGCCGCGCTCCAGCTGCCCAGGCTGGGCTCAAGTCTAGTCTGACCCCTCAAGTTCCAGCGACAGGGGACGCAGCGGCCTCCGGCAGCACACACAGGTGCAAAGCCCCGCTCTCAGAGCTCCACTGCCCACAGCCATCCCGCTCTCAAGAGGCCCAGCTGACACCGCCCAGGACTCCAGCCCTTCCGAAGCCCCGGCGGTGCGCGCTTCTTGCAAGCTTTTACTCGGGGGGGGGGGGGGGGGGCGGACGGCCAGAGGACCGTCTCCTCTAACTCGGGAATTGTGTCTCCCATGTCCCGCACAACAAGCAGGACCACAAGGGATCCCACTTAGGATCACAGAAAACGTGCGAGAAAGAAAAAAGGGGGTTGAGGAGAGAGAGAACAGGGACAGGGTCGCAGAGTGATATTTCACGATAAATAAAACACAGGTACACAAAAAGGTTAAGTTTGGGGAGAGAAAGAGGGACGAACGGAAGCGCAAGGAAGAGGCCCCAGGGGAGTGGTCCGTCCACGCCTGGGAGCCAGAGGGTCTCTGGGCAAAGGGGGCGAGGAGCCACCCGACGCGGCCAAGCCAGCGGCAGCAGGTTCAACAACTGGAGCGCGAGAAAGAACCGCGCGCGACCCACCTGACTGAGAAGCGTTGGGCTGGACGGTCCCCGCTGCCAGGAGAAGGCTCACCCAGACCCACAGTCCTGTCGCCAGCTTCATTTTTTGAAAGTCTCAGATCCCGTGCTGACAATTACATGTCCAAATGGCATATCCCCTTTCGGGCACGCGGAGGAGATTCCTCAGCCAGGCGCGCTGGGGGGCGCGAGGGGAACTGGCGCGCGACGTGCGCGGCGCACCCGCTCCAGGCACCGGCGACCGAGTCAGCGCCCGCGGGTCCAGGGCCGGGGACCGGCGGAGGGGGTGAGTGTGCGCGCGTGTGTGCGCGTGTGGGAGTGTGCTCGAGTGTGTGCGCCCGGTTCTCCGGGCCGGACTCCGCAGCTATTTCCCTGTGTGAGCCTTTGCTTTCTCGCTCCCTCCTCACTTTCTCTCACTGGTTGGTCAACAACAAAAAGGAAGGGGGAAAAAGGTTTCCAAAAAAAGTTGATTGCAAAGAGGCGGTAGGTTTCCGGCCTCTCCCCCTAGCCGGGCTATGTTCGGCTCCCTTTTCAGTTTCCTTGCGCCTCCAGTCCAAATTGGGAGGGAATAGGAGGACGGGGGGAGTGGGGGGAAGCTTCTCGCTTCTCCCCCGATCCTGTCCTTTTTCCTGTCAGCTTCCCTCACACTTGTCCGGCGGCTGCGGTAATTAAAGCTCCGAGCGTCATTTCCAACGCTCCGCGGTCTCCAGCTGCAGCCCCACAGAGAAATTAATAAGACTCCGGGAGGGGGGAAAAAAAAAAGGTGGAGGGGGGCGGATAAAACAACCCTCCACGCCCCCAGGCTGGCTCTGCTCAGCCGCGAAAACCCCGCCCCCGCTCTGACCCAACTAGCCACGCCTTTTCCCCCGCCCCCACCCCAAAGGGAAATCTTATTGGCTCAGACACTCCCCAAAATCCTCAGTCTCAGGAGTTGGGAAAACACCTGTCTGGGAGCGGGCGCGTGCTGGTGGGGGCGGGGGGAAGCGGGATTTAAAGGGCTCACCCAAGACCACAGACTGAAACAGAGGCCCGAGACAGCTGGCCTGTGGAGTGCGGAGAGCACAGGAAGGTGGCTTACGGATTTTTTTTTTTTTAAACAAGAAAGTCACCATTTTCTTTATTGCCCCACCGTGTTCATCCACAGACTGGACCTAGAAAGAAAAGAAAAGAAAACGTTGCTTCGGGCATAAAGCCTTCACCCTTCTCTAAACTCTCCTGCTCCACACTCAAAGTAATTTAAAAGGTGGTTTAGCAACCGGTAGCCTCTGCTGGTTAGGTGATCCTGGGAATATAATCAATCACCCGTTTTACCAGCTATGCCATCTCTCCCACCATTCCCACCCTCCGAAAGTGACCACATTTGTATAGCTACATCCTTTGATTTTCAGTTTATAAGTCTTTTCACCTTTTCCTTGGACTCTAGGACAGCTTGGTTTGGGGTTCATTGACATTAAGCAGATTCTTGTCCAAAGCTTGAATGTGGTTCTGAAGGGCTAGAAACTGTCCCACTCCTCAGCTGTTCAATGTCTTCGACTTAAGGCCATGCCAGGACATAACCAACGCAAATGATTAGGCTTATGCTACAGTGGACCCAACTTTAGGTTCCTTCTGTGTTGTCAACTCTGCAAGTCCACACGCCCCAGTCCCCAGTTTATTGCTAACTATAGGAGTTTCTGTGCCTTTCTTGATAAAAAATATCCCAGGATTGGGTCATATCAGTGTACATATCCCTTGCCTTTCACAGCTCTGAAACTGTACCCTGGGCAGAGGCCAGAACCTCCTGGGGGTAGTAGGTTATTGGTTTGCTATTTGCACAGGCATTCTATGTATGAATTATTTTACTTTTTATGTCTTGCTAGAAGCAGAAAATATATAAATAAAAAAGTATCAAGGGAGCTTAAAAATCAAGCCACCTCACTCATCATTTGAGACCTTCCCATTCCTCCCCCACATCTTTTATCTATAGCCTTGTCCCTTAAGAATTTTCATGGAGCTGAGAACAGAGAGAAATAGCAGCCTCATCCCAGAAACCTGAAGCCTTCTCTTTCTTAGGCCCACAGCAAGTAACAGGCACAGAGAGGAGGCCAAACAAGCTGAGCATGCTGTTTTACCCAGAAGCAGCCTAGAGCCTAGAGAAACTAAGCCCAGAACAGATGATGGTGACTGGACCGGAGTGGTACTGATTGCCTCAGAACTATGCACACTGCTCTTTGGGATTATCTTTGCTTTCTATTTTTATCACCCTCCCCCTCTATTTTCTTTCCTTTCATTCAATCTCTTCTCAGTCTCCTTTCCTTGAATCTCCTGCTCTTAATGATGATGCTCAGACACCTCTCTTCCATGAAAACTGCTGCTTTTTAAAACTTTCCTTCTGTCCCCAGAGTAAAAACTTACGTGAAAAAAAAAATTAAAAAAAAAAAAAAAACACTTTCCTGCTTTGGGGAAAGCTTAAGTTTCTATATTAAAAAGGGTCTTGTTTCTGATAACAGTTATAAGAAGTTGAAGAAATTTTGTATTTTAGCTTAAGTTGAGGAAAAAATTAAATGCCCTGGATAATTTGGGTTGTTTTTGATTTTCTACTTGTGTCCATTGTGATAGTTTTTACCTTTTCATCAATTTCTTTTGGATGCTTGACAGTCTGTACAAGGCATCTACCAATTAAATTACCTTGTATACCCATGATTTGCCATGATACCCATTTCAATTTGTTCTGTTTGACCCCATCTTTTGGAGGTTCTGATTGAAGCAATGATTGCTACCTAACCAAAGCTGGATATCTGACCAGCAGCCTATAAAATGAATTGGCATGAAAGTTCTACCCAACAGAGGCATCCCATATTGTTTTTGATGGTGACTGGTCTACTCAATCAGAGTCTAGTTTATATAATTTGATTATGAGACCCTAGAGACTTAGGAAGGAAGTATCCTGTGTGGAACAACTAGAAAAGTGAGAATATAAAATCCATGAGCTAGAGTCAATAGCTAATTTTTTCTGTGTCTGGTCTCATTGGTTTCCCATCTCAACTGAGTCATCATAAGAAAGGAATACCAGAGTAGGGGACATTTGCTACCGGATGTAGACAGGACATGCTAAATCCTCTATGATTGCTAGAGGATTTCTGAAGAGAATCTCTATATTTCTTCACTTTTCCATGTATCTTTATAATAATTCTTTATCAGCTGTATTAACAAAAATATGTTGCTATTATTTTCAACCTGGAAAAAAACAAATCTGAGTAACCCAACATATTACTTAGAAAACCGCAGGTTTGCATCCTGATTTATCTGCTCAGTGTCCCTTTTCTAGGAACTCTCCTTCCCTCAGTTCTACATTTTTAACTTGGATCTACCTCCATGGTACAACACCCCCAACTCCTTTGTTCCAAGTTGGACCACTCAAAATACTAAGTTAGACCAATCAAAATGCCTTGATCATTGTTAACTGGTTGACAGATGGTCACTCCCACAGAGTCTCTTCCCTGAGATTTTTTGTGCATGGGAAAGAAAGAGTTCCTATTAGTCATTCACTGATAGCTTCTGAGATTTAAAAAAAAAAGTCCAGAACTGACCTAGGTTTCCTTCTATGTAGGGATGACCAGGCTGCAGTGAGAGAGAATGAAGGTGCCATTTGCAAGGAGCACAAGGGGGCGCCTGGGTGGCTCACTTGGTTAAGCATCTGCCTTCCTCTCAGGCTCAGGTCATGACCTTGGAATCCAGTGCTGGGATCTGGGATCCGGGATCCAGCCTGTGTCAGGCTCCATGCTCAGCCAGGAGTCTGCTTCTCTCTCTCCCACTATCCCTCTCCACCATATGTGCTCTTTTACGTGCTCTATCTCAAATAAATAAAATAAAATAAATAAAAAAAAAGGAATACAAGCTCTTTCTGAAGGTCTGAAGAATGTTCAAGCTTTTCCTGTGGCTTTGTTATTTGAATCCCCCTTTTCCTAAGTTAGTTCAATTTCTTACTTGTTACCTGAAACCAGAACACAATGAAATAGTAAAAAGAATCCAACTTCAGTGAGATCATATAGGACATCATGCCTCCTGAGGAAGATATGTTGCTATGGCCCAAATTCTTCAATTTCCCTTCACAGTTTCTCATGCTTTCCCTTGGCTGAAGCCATAACCCCAACATAGAGATTCCTTTGGTCTTTGCTACATCCTCATATCACATTTCCTAGTTCATGTTTTCCGTTAGTAATAGAATTCAAGGAGTGTCTTGACGTCATGAGTGGCAGAATGCTACTGGTGGGATAATGCTACTGTGGGGGAACACATTGATCTCAGAGTTCAATGTTGCATTAGATATATAACTTTGTCCTGGAGTCTTATAGTTCACTCCACTCTTCAGCTTGTTTCTCAGACTTCCCTAACAGTATGATTAGAGCTTTCTACTTTAGACATTTTGCTATTGGCCATAAATATAAATTTGGGACAAATATCAACCAAGAAAAGAAAACAAGATCTGGCCATAAATCAATTTTCTTCTCCTGAATATTCAAAAATAATATAGGATTCTAATTCTCCACCCGCTACCCATTATCATCTTCCTCATCATCTAAGTTATTTTGTGATCACAAGCAACTCACTTCGTATACCTGAGCCCTTTGCCTCATCTTTAAAGGAAAGGATTGTTATGTCCCAAATCTAAGGCTTCATAAATCTATGATGTAGTGATCACCTACTAAGTACAAGTCATAATTTTCACAGACTTCAATTGTTTCTTATATTCCTTCCTCCTTTTCCCCACTTACCCACACACAAATCTTGATCTGGAGCACGAACACAGCCTCAGCCTTAGGAAATATTCAAATAAGCTCACTACTATGTAACTGTGAAGTGCTCAAGACTTTAGGACTTTCCTATTTCATCGGCCAAAAAGAAATTTTGGTAAATACCAAGGCAGATCCAGTTTTATGATGATGAAGCAGATGACAGATGGAGTACTGGAAGTTTTTGTTTATTAACTAGCAATTAAAATAACATCTTTTGTTCTTAACCCTCATAGTTCTGAAATTCTATGATATTTTTGGTAATGTTCAATGTGTCAAAGCTAAAAAAAATCTTTAAACATTTTTTAAATGCATGACTATACATTAACAAAAGAAATGTTTTTGTGATCTTAGTTAATTTAATATCCAAAGAGGACCTGCCTGAGAATATTTTCATTTTGGTTAGTAAGTGTTATTTTCTGTCTATGTGTGTGATTAAGCCTTAATTTTTTAAGTGCTAAGGAGGAGGGACTGAACATAAATAAATCTGTGTTGCTTTTATGTTCATCAGTGTCTGTCCAAGTTCTTACAGACCTTTTTGGTTTGTGGCTGAAACTGCAAAACAATTTCAGCCCTGTGGACAGAGTAGCCTTTTCCAACAAAGTTATGCAAAAATGATTTTCCTAGTGAAACCTTTTCCTGTTGTGTATCTGCTTTATATATTTTCTTAAACTAAGTTCTCGTGTCCCAGATAGCTTTTTTACTGCTTTGTAAGTTTATAGATAAAGTAAAACTTCAGTAACAGTTGCCAATTGAAAACTAAGAAGAAAAGGGACATTTCTATTTTTGCATGTTTATATATTTATAAATAAGTTAACTAGTGAAGTTCCTTATTGAGGCTATGATTGTACCTGGCCTAAAATCTGAACCAAGAAAAAGTTTGTTAGTTTCTTTTTCAGGTAGCCTCTTATGTTGCACTTCGTTTTTTCTGGACTCCTAACTTGGCAAAGAGCTTGATCATGTTACGGTTAATACATAGATTTCTCAAAAGAATCTGAAGAAGTTACATTTGCCAT